AGATACGAGACAGAAAGAGACTTCGCAATAGAGTCTCAGAGAGGGAGAGAGAGAGAGAGAGAGAGAGAGAGAGAGAGAGAGAGAGAGAGAGAGAGAGAGAGAGAGAGAGAGAGAGAGAGAGAGAGAGAGAGAGAGAGAGAGAGAGCGGTGAGAGTGCGGTGAAGGCCTGCGCCGCGTCGTCGCTTGGCGCACCCCCGCCGGCGCTGGCGAGCAGCTTGCGGTGCTCAACCGCGCTCACCGTAAAGACGGGCAGCTTGAAGGGGGCCTCGTGCCACGCCTCGGGGGGCGGGCGGGCGCCGAGCGAGGCGAGGGGCACGTTCTGCGTGAAGGACTTGGTGAGCTCGCGCTTGGTGAAGGCGTTGCGCGCGAGTGCGCACTGCAGCGGCGGCGTTGTCTCGTCGAGGCGCAGGTTCTCGACCAGCTCGCTGCGGTTGAAGATGTCGGCCTGCGAGGCGACGAAGGCCAGCTCGCCCATCGACCCTCGCTGCAGCAGCTCGCGCCGGAGCGGCAGCGGCATCAGGTCCTTGGCCGACTTGTCGTTGCACGCGCGCCGGATGTTGGACGTGATCAGCACGGTGTGCGCCGACGCGATGATGGAGCGCATCGACAGGGCGCGCGCCTGGTTCTCGTCGTGCGTGCCCGGCACATCGTACAGTCGCAGTCCGGCGCTGAGGAGCGAGAAGGGGGCGAACAGCGTGGCCTGTTCACAGCGGCGGCGTGTGAGGAGGCGCTGCTCACCAGAGGAGGGGAGGCGAGGGGGCGAGCAGCGTGGGCCCGGTGCACGAGCGGCCACAACGCGCCGCCCTCCGCCTCGTCCGAGGAGTCAACGTATGGCTGGACCAGGCGCGCAAACTCGGCCTCTGTGGACGCCGAGAGGAGGACGCGACTGCCGAGGCCCTTGTCGGCCGCGCGCTCCATCAGGGAGGCGACGAGGGCCTCCGTCGCGCCGGGCGCGGCGAGCGCCTCGGCTGTGATGGAGGCGGAGGCGCCGTAGCACGAACTGACGCGGCTCCAGTCCGCAGCGCCGCGGTGCTCGCCCACCTGCAGAGTCTCGCCACAGATCTGCCGAGATCAGCCGAGATCAGCCGAGATCAGCCGAGGTCAGCCGAGATCGTCAGCTCGCCCACCTGCGGAGTCTTGCCTGGCCCCGCGGACACGGCGGCGGCGCACGCGGCGAGCAGCGCCTCCCGCCACTCCTCGCGGCTGACGAGGGAAACGCGCGCCTCGTATGGCCCGCTGCAGTCCGCGTCCGGCCACGCGAGCTCGATCACGGCCGCGGTGCAGGCCCGCATGCACGAGGTCGGCAGGATCGGCGTCGAGCAGCCTTCGGGACGTGTCATGGACGCGTCACGGTCGGGTCGTGGACATGTGCAGGCAAGGCTCGGCGTCGAGCAGCCGAGGAGCGCGTTGAGGAGGGTCGACTTGCCCGCGCCTGTCCACAGCTGCAGGTGTGAAGAGACGCCGTCCACAGCGCGTTGAGGAGGGTCGGCTTGCCCGCGCCCGTCCCGCCGCAGACCACAACCTTGAGCGGCTCTGCGGCGTGGTACGGGAGCACCTCCACCCGCCTGGCGGGGTCTGCAGCCGACAGAGCCGCCGATGGCGCGAGCCGAGACCACAGCTCGCCGGCCACCGCCTCGGGGACCTGAGTCAGGAACCACGATTGTTGATTGAGTAACCGTTCAGACTAGAGCTCGCCGGCCACCGCCTCGGGGACCTGCAGCAGCTGCGACTGCGCGAGCCCCATCCACTCCTATGATGATGGTGATGGTGGTGGTGGTGATGACTATCATGAACGACTGCGCGAGCCCCGTCCGCTCCTCGCGGCTCAGCGAGCAGAGGACCGCGCCGTCGAGCCCCTCGCTGCCGATCGCCGCGCCGTCGACCGAGAGCCGCTCTCCTCCCGCTGCGCCTGCCCACAGGACTGAGGGATGAAGAGACGCCCGCGCAGCGGACACCTCACCTCGCCCCCGCGCCGCCGTCGCCTCCGAGCTCGCCCTTCGACTGCATCCATCGCACGACCTCCGCGACGTCGACTGCCTTGGGACGCCACGCGGCCAAACTTGCCCCGCCCGCGGCGGCGGCAGAGGCGGCGGCCGCGGCAGAGGCGGCGGCAGCGGCAGAGGCGGCGGCAGCGGCGTTGGCATCGGAGGCGCGGCGCTGCAGAGCGAGCCAGAGGCGGCGTACGGCGAGGAAGAGGCTGGGCTGCTCCCTCGCGGGGTGGGGGGAGGCATCGTCGCCGATCAAGACCTCGAAACAGTCGGCGTGGCTCATGCTCAGCAGCACGTCCAGGTCGTCCACCTCGCTCTCCACCACCGCCCGCGCCACGCCCGCCCGCCGCCCCGGCTCGAAGAAGGAGGCCACCCACGCGGCGATCTGCCCGCTCCCCATCAGCACGTCGCCCGCGCCCTCGCCCGCTCCCTCGCCCGCCGCACCGCCCTCGCCCTCCTCCTCCGCACCGCCGTCGCCGCCCGCCATCTTCGCGTCGCTCGCGGCCGCCGCCTCGCTGTCCTCGGAGGTGGCCGTGTCGAGCGAGCGGGCGGCGGCGGCAGCCGCCGCCTCGTCGCCCGCGCGCAGGCCATCGCAGAGGCGCGCAAAGCCAGACACGTCGACGGGCGCGTGGCGTGTCCGCTCTTCGACGATCTGGGTGAGCGCGTCGTCCAGCGCCTGCAGCTCCGCCGCCTTGCGCAGCTCGAGCCCGCGCCTGGCGACGGCGGCCTCGTGGACGCGCCTCAGCTCCGCCTGCTTCTGGCTGCGTGCCGACTCCTGCGAGCGGCGCGCTGCCGCCTGCTGCTGCTCCTGCCGGCTCCGCGCCTGGATCTGCAGCGGCGCCGGCTCGGGGCTTACGGCGCGGGACAGCTCTTCCACGCCGGCGGCGAGAAGCCTGCGGAACCACGGCTGCAGCCTCTCCTTGACGCTGAGCCCGTCGTGCATCTCTTGCAGCAGCGAGGCGAAGCCGTCGGCACCGCCGTACGCCAGGCTGGCGCCGGACGCCGGCATCCCAAGCGGCGCTTGGGCCGCCCCTGGCGGCGGCGGCTTCTTGATCTCGAGCACGAGGCTCGTCAGCTTGCCGCGCAGGGCTTCGCCGCCCGGCATGGCGCCGAGGAGGCGGCACGTCGTCTTGAGGGCGGAGGCGCGCAGGAGCGGCTCCGCCCACGCCGCCTCGGCCGCGCCGCTTGCGAAGGAGAGGGGCGCTTGCGCCGTCTCGACGGCGCCGGCAAAGCCGGGGAAGCTGGCGGGGGCGGAGGCGATGGCGACGAGGCAGCGCTGGGAGGCGGAGGCGTCGAAGGGCAGCGCCTTGGAGCCGCGGCACAGCTTGAGCAGCGCGGGCATGCCGTCGCGGCGCTGCGTCGCGGGGGCGGAGGGCAGGCCCGGGTAGAGCCCGCCGAGGGCCGAGCCGGCGGCAACCTCCGAGAGCGCCGCGCCGATCGCATCCTGAAGGAGGGTGTCCGAGTCCGAGAGGGCGACGCGCAGCTCGATGAGGAAAGGCGCCAGCGGCGCGAGGACGACGAAGAGCCTCGGGTTGAGCTTGAGCGTGCCGTCCTGCCTCGACCACACCGCGGCCGCTGGCAGCGTGGACCCGCCCACGCAAACTGCCATGCGGGTCTCGGCGGGCGGCGGCGCGTCGGCGAGGCGGCGCATCGCCTGCTGCGGCCGGCCGAGCAGTAGCAGCGCCTCGGCGGACCAGTGAGGGAGCGCGAGGTGGCCGGCGAGGCAGAGCAGCTGGCCGAGGCACTGCTGCGAGCCTTGCTGGCGGAGGTAGCGGAGGCGAGCATGGCTAGCGGCGCGCGGCTCGTCGAGCACGTCCTGCTCCGTCGCGGTTCCGCCGAGGATGCGGAGGAAGGAGGGGTGCTTCCACGGCAGGCGCACCTGTGGCCCGATCTCCTCCGCGAGATGCCTCGCCGAGGCGGTCGAGGAGGGGGCGGACTTTCGCGCGGCCTTCGTGGCCAGGGCCCTGCGCGGCGCAGAGTCGAGGGAGTCGTCGAGACACCCCGAGCAAGCCTCGAGGCATTCGGAGAGCGGCGTGGGCAGCCCCGCGTCCGAGCCGAAGCTGCCGTCGTACACGCGCGGCTCGCGAGGCAACTCGAGCACCACCTCCCTCCACAAGTCGGCGATCTCCTTCGCCACGGCTCCAAATTCACCCAACTTGTCTGCGCCCCCGTCCTCCTCGCCGACCTCCTCGATCGCCGCGTTGAGCTGCGAGGTGAGCACGAACAGGCGGAGGGCGGTGCGCAGCGACTCCTTCTCCTCCTGCTGCTCCTCCTGCTCCTCCTGCTCCTCGTCGTCGTCGTCGCTCATCGGCACTGCGCCCGTCGCAGCCGCCGACTTTCGCGCCGTCGTCTTCGCGAGCAGACTCGCCGACGGGCCAGACTTGCGAGCCGCGTCGCTGACCGGGCGGTAGAGACCCGACTTGCGCGCCGCCACCTTGGTCCGCGCCGCCGCCGCCGGTCCGAAGCTGTCGCAGAGCGTGCGCAGCTCCTCGTCCTCTCCGACCGCCTCTTCAACGTCGACCCGCGTCACGCGCGGAGAGGCGGAGGCGCGGCAGCGCACGCCGGCGAGCTCGAGCAGCTCGGCACAGACGTACTCTGAGACCGCTGCCAAGTAGACGGCCGCAACTCGCGAGTCTGGCGCAGATCTGGCGGTCTCGGCGTACCTCTCCGCGAGCTGCTCGGTGAGGAGCGTCACCACGTCGGCCACGGGGAAGGTGAGGCCAGCATTGCGGTGCGCGGGCCACTTAGCGACGGCCTTGCCGCCCTCGCTCACGGCGTGCTTTGCGAGCTCGCCGGGCAGCACGCGCCGCACCGCCGCCTCGACCTGCTCCGCAGCAACTGGGCCTCCGAGCTCTAAGCTCTCGACCACCGCCTTGAAGGTGGACCAGACACGCGCCTCCACCGCCTCGAGCGCCGAGGGGCTGATCCGCAGGTTCGGGTGCACCTGCTCGAGCACGGCCTTCATGTGCGGCGCCCAGAGGCTCTCCGCGCCCTCGTCCTCACTTGCCAGCGGCGATGACGTGCCAGAGGCAAGGCCAGACCTGCGCGCTGGGAAAGAGGGCGCCGACTTGCGCGCCGCCATGGTGGCCATCTTGCGGGCCGCGCCGGCGGCTGGCGCCAGAGGCGCCGGCACGGGCTGCGGCGCCGGCGCGGGGTCCACGTCGTCCTTGATCTCGTCGATGATCTCCCCGACGACGTCGAGCAGGCTCTGGACGGACGCGTAGTCGTCGCTCTGCTTCCAACACTCGCAATCCTCGTCGTCGTCATCGTCGTCGTCGTCGTAGCCCCAGCGTCGGCCGTAGTAGCCGCGGTTGCGGTACCTGCAGTCGCAGTCGAAATCGTCCGGCTTCTCGAGCGATTCGCGGAACTGCTGCAGCGCGGCCTGGAGGCGGGAGGAGTAGTCGTCGTGCGCGCGCTGCTCCACCCCGCGGTCCGCGAACAGCATCGTGCCCACTCTCCCCTGCAGCGCGGCATGCGTGGCCCGGTGCGTCTCGAGCAGCGCCGCGCCCCGCTCCCCCATGCGGACGCACGCAGCCTTCTGCTCGTCGCGCGCCGCCCGCATCTCCTCCACGCTGACAAGGTGCGCCTTGCGCAGCAGACCGGCACCCGCCGAGGTGCGCCACTGCGCACGGGCGGCGCCGAGCGGGTCGTGCCGCCGCTCCGCCTCGGCCTCGGCCTCAGCCACCGCGGCGTCCAGCGAGCTCAGCTCCTCCGCCGCCGCGGCCTTCTCCTGCTCGATCGCCCGCTCGAGCGTCTTGAGGCCTCGCCCGACCTTGCCGACTGCTGCCTCGAGCGCCTCTGCCGTCGCCTCCTCCGCCACGTCGACGAGCAGGCCGCAGGCGGCGGCGAGGGCGCCGTCCTCAGAGCCGTCACCGCCGACGCCAGAAGTGGCGGCGGCTGCCTTGCGCTGCTGCTGCTGCTGCTGCTGCGGTGCGGCGTCGCGGTTGTCCCCGCCTTGGTCGTTGCGCGCAGCCTTGCGCGCTTGTCCTAACTGCCGCCGCCGCCGCCGCTGCTGCTCCAACAGCCACGGGCGAGGGTAGTGCACGCCATAAGACCACGTGAGCTCGGTGAAGGGCGGGAGGTCGGCGGTGGCGACGAGGAACGCGCGGCGGGGCAGCGGCGGCGGCGCGGCGGCGCCGCCCCCGCCCTCCTCCTCCCCCTCCCCCTCCGGCGGCGGCGGCCAGTACATCAGCCGGAGGTTGGGCGAGTCGGAGTCGTTTGCGAAGCGCATCATGTTGCCCTGCTGCCGCGCGTCGATGTAGAGCACGTCGTCGCCGGCCGCCCGCTTCCTGGCCAGCGTCTCGTCGTCGAACGAGACGACGTACTCCTTGCCCTCCAACGCCTCGTACTCGCCCTCGCTCAAGCAACGCCCAACCGCCTCCACGACCACATCCCCCCTCGCCAGACCCTTTGCGCAGCACAGGCCCCAGCCGCGCCCGTCTTCCGTCTCGAAGGCGCGCAGGCTGTCGTACTCGACCACCTTCTCCGCCAGCTCCGCAGAGAGGGCCTCGCGCTGCGAGTACTTCACGGCCACCCGCCGCGTACCGCACGGCGAGAGGGCGAAGCTGCCGACCGCGTTGCAATCCTCGTACCCGAGTCGCGCAGAGGCGGCGGGCGGAGGCAGACAACGCGCCTCGATGCCAGCCGGCCCACTGCTAGCGCCGCCGCCCTCGCCGCCGCCGCCGCCGCCGCCGTCGCCTGCCTCCTTCACCTCCTCCTCCACCTCCTCCTCCACCTCCTCCTCCACTGCCTCCTCCACCTCCATGCTCTCAGCACCGCCGCCGCCCTGCTCCGCGCCCTCACTCGCCGCCGCAGCCAGCGCGGCGGCGGGCGGGGGCGGCACGGGCTCCTCGTCCTGGCTCGAGAGCGCCTAAGAGCGGCAACAAAACAGCGCATCATTCACGGTGCGCGCGCGTACCGCCCAAGGCTCGGCAGCGCCTGCGTGACTGCAGCCGGCGTGGCCGCCGCCGGAGTCGCCGCCGCGGGCGTGCCCTGTGGCACAGGGCCGGCCGCCGCCGCCGCTGCCCCCGCCTCACCCTCCGCCTCCGCCGCCTCAGCGCCCGCCGGCTCTGCGGGCGGAGCAGGGCCGGCGCGGAGGACGTAGCGGAAGGTGGTCGACGCGAAGGCCTTCTTGCGGGCGAGGGAGAGGGAGGCGCCGGACGCGGCGGGACCGCGCGTGCCGAAGACCACTACGGAGCCCACCCGCAGCGCGGCCGCCGCGTCTCTTGCGAGTCCGACGCCGTCCACCTCGGTGCCGTTTGCGCTGACGTCGGTCAGCGTGACCGCCGAGCCGGCGACGGAGATCCGAGCGTGCTGCCGGGACACAATCCCCTGCTGCCACTCGCAGCCCGCCGGCGGGCAGTGATTGAGCTGCACGTGAACGGCGTCGCCCATGCCCGTCAGCGCCGCCGCGCCGTCCGCGCCGCGGCCGAGGAGGGTGGTCGCTGCAGAGAGGGGGATAAACGCGGGGAGGCCCGCGGTGCAGGTGCCTGCCTCCGCGGCCAGCTCGAGGTGGAAGGCCATCTCTATGCGTCCCGATGGCCTTGCAGATCTCTATGCGGAGCCCAGCTGGCGGAGCCTACCGATGGCTTGGTTTCACCGCCCAAAATTCCCTTTAGGAAGAAACTTGTGCGTAAGGTACCCGAAGCAGAAACTAGCGCAGACGAGAGCAGGGCAGACCCGGGGACTGGGGAGCCGGAGCAGATGGCATCGGCCGCCGAGGGAACGTTGGGAAGAGGCACGAGGAGGGCGGCGACCTCGACCGACTATGGAGGACCCGTCGCCAGACGACGCAGGGCAGAAGACGGTGAGGCGGAGCAGACGCGCAGGGCGAGACGAGGGAGGGAGCAGGATGTTGCGGAGATCAGCAGGAGGATGTACGACGAGATTAGGAGCAGCAGGGACCCGAGGGACCATGTGGAAGACGGCTAGTGCTAGTCCCCCATCGGGAGGACGACCCCGCGGCTAGTCGCCGACCACACCCACAAAGAACCCTGCACAAAGATCGCAAGGGCGGGGACCTGTTCCTTTTTTATTACCCACCTCACAGTAGAGAGGTGTCCGTTTTTATTTATTTATTTATATAATTCCGGGGACGAGAGTTCGAGAGAGCCATCCCAAGTCTCGACACACATGCATGCACATTGCCGGAGGCGCCTAACTCACCTGCCAACACACAAACGGCAAACCTGTGCGTGCCACCAAACCGCCTCTAGCGAGCCGAGTGGCAGGCGGTTTGCCGCTCGCCCCAGCAGCGCCGCGGGCTCGGTGGTGAATCGTCACAGCTCGAGCTCGCGCTCTGACAGCGGCGCAAAATACCTGTGGAGAAAGAAACTCGTGAGCACATGAGGCTCACCCCGGTGGTGCTGCAGCGGCGCAAGGTACTCTGCGACGGACTCGTCCGCGACGTCGGTCAGGCTCTGCGGCGCCCAGCGCGGCGCCTTGTCCTTATCGACCAGCGCAGCGCGGATCCCCTCGAAAAAGTCCGACGGCTGCCGCATGAAGCGCTGGCAAGCGCGGAACTCGGCGCGCAAGCCTGTGGTGTGAGTGCAGGCAGCGGGCGTGGGAATCGGCACCGTGCAGAGTATTCAGAGCATCGCGTGAGCAAAAGGGCTACTCGAGGACCGCTGAATACAGCCGGACGCACAGTGCACTTGAGAGCACCGGGACGTGTATCCAACATCTATGAGCGCAAACATTCCGACAGCGGCCGGCCCCTTGCCTCGATGAGAAGCCGGAGCGTCACCTAAGGTAACGCGAGGGAGGGCGACGTCTCACACACCCACACGAGTTGGTGGGACACGGGCCGCAACCCTCCCATCTGCTCCAGTCCAGGCAGGCAGGAGCGCACGGTGCAGGGCGAAGGCACGCGCGCGGGCGAGCGTCACCTTGCATGACGTGGGCGACATGCGCGAGAGTGTGTGCCGCGTCTCGCTCGCCTGATGAAGTGATAATGGGCGAACTCAAAAGACAGGGGGGAGGGAGGGTGTGCAGTCGTCTCGCTCGCCCAAGCACAGCCGGCGTCCTTGTCCCGCGCGCGCAGTGCGGCGACGATCGCCTGGCAAGTGGGGTGGGTGAGACGCTTCCCACACGACTGGGGTGACGCTGGGGCGAGGCGTCTCCCTCGCGTCTCCACGTCCAAAGGCTCGAGACCCTCAAGTGCAGGCGGGTGAGCGTTGTGTGTGTGTGGGGGGGGGTGCGTGTGCGTGCGTTGCGTGCGTTGCGTTGCGTGCGTTGCGTTGCGTGCGTTGCGTGCGTTGCGTGCGTGCGTGTGCGTGCGTGCGTGCGTGCGTGCGTGCGTGCGTGCGTGCGTGCGTGCGTGCGTGCGTGCGTTGCGTTGCGTTGCGTTGCGTTGCGTGTGCTGTGTGTGTGTCCGAGGTGGCGCGCCTCGACAGTCGGCTGGCCAAAGCATTCGTCGATCGCGTGCTGCACCGCCTCGAGCCGAGACTTGCCCGGGCTCGCTGCCACCGCATCGAGCGCCTACGTGGCGGAGGCGCCAACGTCGGGAGGTGAAGGACACGTGCCGAGCAGTGTCTTCAGAGCACCGCGTGGTTGTCCAAGTCCTGTCTCCTCTCTATGCAGCATCTAGCGTCGAGCGCCGCGCTGACGTCGTCACTGCTGCCGCAGCCCTCGAGCGCCGCGGCGAGCGAGGGCAGGGTGCTCGAGGGCACGTAGTGCGTGGCGAGCCCCGAGTAGAGCAGGTCGGCCGGGCCGAGGCGAGAGCCCGTCAGCGCCAGGTACGGCCCCAGCCCGCCCGGAAGCGAGGAGAGGAAGTGGGAGGCGCCGACGTCGGGGAAGAGGCCGATGTTTGTCTCGGGCATCGCAAACAGCGCCTTCTCGGTGGCGACGCGGAACTTCCCGTGCACCGACAGCCCGGCGCCGCCACCCATGCAAATACCGTCCCAGACGGACACCTGCGGCTTGTCCGAGGCTGCCAGCGCCGCGTTGAGCGTGTACTCCTCCCGGAAGAAGGCGTCCGCGATGTTGCCGCGCGCTGGCGGCTCCTCCTTGGCGGCGAGCATCACCGCCTTCACGTCTCCGCCGGCGCAGAAGGCCTTGCCTTCGCCGGTCAGCAGGAGGCACCGCACGGAGGCGTCGGTGCTGGCGTCTTGGAACGCAGCCTGCAGCTCCCGGACCATCTCGAGGTTGAGCGCGTTGAGTGCACGGGGTCTTTGCAGCGTAATCGCCGCCAGCGAACCACGGCGCTCGCAGGAGATGTAGGATTGCGTGGGTTTGGTCGACATCATGCGGCGCGAGAGGTTGCGCATAGGAATTCTGCTCGTTGGGCTGCGGGCGCTGCGGGCGCCTGGGGCGCGTAGTTCGGATGAATTCTTTTTCGTATGTTGGTCAGGGACAAGACCGGGAGGATCGCTCTACCGGCAAACCTCTCGCTGACATGCGCACCCCGTCGAGCTGACGGCGGGCGCGCTGAGGTCGCACGCCAAGCCAAGTAGTTATATGCCAATGGCATGCGATCAAGAATCGGCCCACGCACCTCTGCTTGCATACACTCATACATTGGATTGTCATTGCCTGTGAGTGCGAGATAGGGCTAGCCGCTGGCGGCTAGCCCCTGAGGAGAGTGACCAGAGACACCTCACATGACCCCACACACGGTCTAGTCCGGCCTCGCGGTCGGCGGAGATTGCTAGAGGACGAGCAAGCCTGCTCTAGCCTCGCATATTACCTCCTGTCGTCTGTTGTGATGTTGTGCCCTTGTTTGTTTCTCTTGGCACCTTGGTGCTTGGAGTGCTGGGGGGGGCGACAGGAGGAATGTGGCCCTGAGTTATGTGTACGCCAACTCAGGGTGTGTGGCAGCCAGCTGGCTGTGTGTCTTGTGAGCTTGTTTGTGTCTGTGTGTCGCTCGTGCGTGTCGTCATCATCTGTCCCGCGTCCACCCATACCGCGTTGGTGTCCAGTCCGAGCCTGGCTGTTCTTCACCTTTCTACCTACCTACCTAGGGACAGGAGGACAAGACCCTTCCTTCTAACACTTACTTCCTTCTTGGGCGATGAGGGATTCGGCCACCGGCGAGCAAAAGGAAAAGAAACTCGATTGTAGCGTCCAGAGGAACGAGTGGGCAGGCATGGCGGAGGCACCGAACCCGGGGTCCGACGCGCCGGCGCCCGACCCGGCGATGATGGAGCAGCTCATGAAGGCCATGGGCGGCGGCGGCGGCAGCGGCGGCGGCGAGGGCGGCGGAGGCGGCATGGACATGGCGGCCCTGCAGGCGATGCTCGGTGGGCTCGGCGGTGGCGGCGGCGGGCTCGGCGGCGGCCCCGAGGCTGAGATGCGGCGGCAGGCGCAGGCCAACCAGGCGGCGCAGGCGGAAAAGAACTCTGGCGAGGCTGACGGCGGCGCCGACGGCAAGGCATACAAGTGGGAGCAAACCAGCAAGGTGTGCGCCACTTCGCCCACAGATAGAGAGGTCCGTCGCCTCCGCCTCTCACCCCCTTCATCGTCCCGTCCGCAGTACGGCGAGAGCGAGATCATTGTCCGCTTCCCGCTCAAGACGCCGGTCACGAAGAAGGACGTCAAGGTCACCTTCAAGGCTAAGGCGCTCCTGGTGGTGGTCGCAGGCGAGGAGCTGCTCAGCGGCGCGACGTTCGGCACGGTCTCCGTGGACGACAGCACCTGGTGCCTCGTCGAGAAGGGGTCCGAGCTTCAGCTCCTCCTGGGCCTAGCGCTTGACGAAAAGTGGACCTCGTTGCTCGCCGCGTGATCGGCGTCATCGCGTCCTGATCGTCGCCGCGCGCCCGCACTGCGCGCGTCCTCTCTCTAACGGCGGCCCCCTCCCCCGGGCGCTCCAGCTACCCCCACAGCCGGCGCGTGGGGCACTAGCTGGGCAGAGGCGTCTCTGAGACGGTCGAGGAGATGGCCCGCCGGCGGCGCGCGGCTGTCCACCCAGACTCTCGGGCGGTCCGAGCGTGCCCCCGGGGGGCAGGCGGGCAGCATCCGGCCTGTGCCGTCTTTAATCGGCCCCTCCCTCCCCCATTCATTTCTTCACAACGAGCAACATTAGATCGGGTACATATGTACATCTGCCGCAAACTTGCATTCGCGTTGTCTATCTCAGCTTTTTGGCTCGCCGTCGCGTGTCGCGAGAGAGCTCGCCTCGGCCTCGGAGCTCGGTCGCCGGCCGCTTGCGAAGGGCCTTGCATATGCTGTATGCAAAAACGTACGAGCCCTCTCTCGCCATGACCCATGTCGCAGTGTCGCTGACGGGTGTCGCAATCCATGGTGTGTGACACATTGAGGGTGTACAACACATGCACATGCACAGTGCATGCACACATGCACACATACACATGCACACGCACACGAGAGCTTCCTGAGCTCTCCCCTGTATGTAGCATCGTTAGTCGTACCACCATGCCTCCGCTCGTGTATCGTGCGGGCTGGCCGGCGCAGGGGGCAGCCTGTGGTGGCCGCACGATCGACCCTGCGGCACCGCCTCCAACCCGTTTTTCGTCGTCAGGTCTGCGGGATCGTCGCCGGTGAGGCCGAGCCACCGCGTGCTCGAGCCGCGCTGCGAGCGCCTCGCCAGCGCTGCGCAGAGCTCGTCGGCGCGCGTGGCGACCGCGGCCGCGGCCGCGTGACGCTCGTCACGCACCGCGGTCGTCAGCTCGGTGCGGATGGCCTCGGCCTGTGCCAGAAAAGATGCCTCCAGCCGCTCCAGCCGCTCCTGGTGCGAGCTCGCCTGCGCAGGACGCGGCGCGGCGGCTTAGGCGGCGGGGCACTCGAGGTGACCCATGACCCCTCGGACGCGTCAAGGAATCTCCCTCCCTCCCCGTCTCTTCGGCGCGCCAGCAGCTCGAGCCGGGAGCGCAGCCCGGCGGCAGCGCGTGACTCCACCGCCGTCAACGCCTCCACCGCCGCCTCCAGCTGCTGCTGCGCAGCGCCACTCTCCTCCGCCGCTCGCAAGAGCTTCTCGGTCGCTGCCGCCACCCCGAGCGACACTGTGGCCAGCGCGTCTTGCTCGGCGCCGCCGCAGGCCGCCGCGGCTGCGACCGGCGTCTCGGGCGCGAGCCAGGTCGCCGAGGTCCCTCGCCCTCTGCCGCCAACCGGTCGATCGCCGGGATGTTGGGCGGGTCGGCGGTGCGCGCGCGGCTCGGGAAGAGGCCAGCCCAGCGATCCACGCTCAGTAGGTATTCCGGCAGGCGGCGGCATGAGCGGTGCTGCGGCCGGTGGCGTGTTGCTGTCGGACGGTAACGATGCGAGCGCCTCCGCCGCGAATCGGCCTCTGGACGCCATGAGGTGTCTGCCGGCGCGATAGAGTTTTCCAACCGCCAGCGATTGCTGCCGGGGGCACTCTCGATCGTGACTAAAGAATCGTAAGAGCGCACCGGCTCAGCGCACCGGCTCACCACCGGAGCCGCCTAAGCGACTCCGTTAAGAACGGCAATGCACTCCGCACCATGCACAATGCCGCTCTCCCCGCACGCTAGCTCGTTCACCGTCTGCCACGCCACGGCGGTGTGGAGGACGACCGACAAACGCTGCATTTGCACCAGCGGTCGCACGACACGATTCACGCGACAGGTGAGAAGAAACGCAATTTCGCCGCGAGCACCATACAGGGATTTCTTCGTTTCTTTTCGTCGCACGCACATGTACACATGTTGTTGTAGTTCGTTGTGGAAAACAACTTCTCTTGTTGTGACTCTTCGAGGGAGCTTTGTTGAAAAATTCTCTCTCTTTTGGTCGGACCTTGCATTTCAAGAAGAGAGTCGTGATTTCTTGTTGGTCTTCAAAAATATCTCTCTGCATTTCTCTCTAGCAAAAAAGAAAGAATGACAGTGCTCCCCGGCCCTGGATGGATGTGAGGTTACTGACTGCATGCACTCCAAGTGCTCCAAGTGCGCCACCGCAAAGGTACATGTACCCCGCTGATCGAGTGAGGCACTAACAAAGAAGAATTGCTGTCGCTTCAGCAGGGGAAGGAAGGAAGGGAAGGAACGACAGAGGCCGCCACCAGAGAGGGATTTGTACTTTCTTTTCGTTAAATGTAGTTCGTGTGAGCGAGAGAGAGATCTTTGAAGACCAACAAGATTTCTTGTGTGTGGAAAACAACTTTCTCTTGTTGTGAGGAGGGGGGGGGGGGGCGGTCACCTACTTTGTTTCATTCAAGAAATTCTAAAGCTTTCTTCCCGGGAGAGAGTTGCATCTTTAAATTCTTCCGCGGCTGGATGCGGAATGTCATTGGTCAATGCACGCGTCGTCTGCTCAGGTCACCTCTATGCGGAAGCCAATGAGTGTGTTTGTGTGTCTTCTGGCCTGCACCGGCACTGCTGTAGGGAAGCCGCCGTCGAAGACCGTATTGCAGCCGGGGTCGATGCAGAAACGAGTGCAGACCCTGCTGCTCAGTCCATCACACGCCGCACTCGTCGACGTCTTGCCGGGTCAGTGTCTCGGAGGACGCAGTCCTGTGTACGAGCGAGCGCTGCTTGCGCTGGCGGCGCTCGGCGTCTCGTGCATTCTCTTCGTGTGTCTCACGATCGTGCTCCAAGCGGTGCGTCGCATACTTGCTGCAGGCATGCTTGGGTTGGACGCGGCCAGGGTGGCGGCTGCCTGGGCGGCGGCGGACTTTCCGGCATCAATTAGCGCCGCGTCAATCGCTGACCCTACCACATTCGGCTAGTCAATAGGCGGTGGCGGTGACGGTAGACGCTAGGACTCCGCGCTTGCTTCCACTCAACAACCAGGTTGAGGCCGCGCGCCCCGGAGGCGGCCCGGCCTGCGGTCTCACAGTCTGCGCGTCCGCCTCATCCCATCCGCGGATTTGATCGCCGCTTTATCATGCGCATTGTCAGAGCTCGATGGGTGATGGCGACTGCTTCCTTCACAGACCCTGGTCCCTTTTAGAGAGAGATTTTTGAAAACCAACAAGAAATGAAGACTCTCGCAGTAACTTTGCAACGAATTGTGCGCTCGAGTCCGCGAAAGGTGAACGTGCGTCGAAAGTGCGTGATCTTCACAGAGCGACAGATGAGGGACGAGACTGATAGAGATTTTGAAAACAAACTTTCTACAAACAAGAAATCACGACTCAGCTTGACACCCAAGTGTTGAGCACCGGTGACTGTGGGAATGGGGGAAGCAGAGTTCAGATCAGTCGAGGGAGTGTGATCTCCCTCATCCTCAACGGGCGTCCAATCGCAATCGGATTTACTACGGCGGTGGTCCAATGGTAATCCGCATATTGGACGTCCCCGTCCATTGTTCTCGCCGTTCTTCGGTGGGGCCGCGTCAGGGCGGGGGCGCAGGCGCGTGCCCCGCCCGGCGCGCAGGCTCCAGTGCGGCGCGGAGGCTCTCCCACCCTCCATCCCCATCGCGCGTTATACACTCTCACAAGCCTGTCTAGGTAGTGGGGGTTGCGTCGTGTGCCAAGCATGGCCACCACAGTCAGGCATGCTGATACTCTCGCAGTCTGCCCGTGTGTGTGCTTAGCCCCGCTCAGGCTTCTAAAACATGCTTGGTTGTCCCAACTTTGTTGCCACATCCCGCAGTTACTTTTGGCTCGCTCGGCAGATGGTCCCCTGGCTGCAGTAGTCGACGCATGCAGTAGTCGTCGCACTTGTCGAATCTTCATCCTGGTCAGGCCAGAAAGACAGAAAGAAAACAGACAACCCAAGGGCCCGCGTTTTTGTTTTTGGCCTGGCACACCGTATCGGCACTTGTCGAATCCTCAATTGATGGTCGCAGCTCAGGGGCAGCTCCCGCTCGCAGCTATGCCGCTCAATGTCGCGAGGGCGAGCGTTGTCATGCAGGCGCGGCCTCCGTTTGCTGCTTTGGCACTGTGTTGTCATCCCACTCCGCTGCTCGTCATCCTGCGTTCTCGGCCTCACCGCTTTAGGTTTCTCCGCCTGAGCTCATCCCCGACGCCCGGAACGGCAAAGCGCTCGAGGAGGTGAAGGTGCTCGCCAAAGAGCTGAACCCGGTGCTGGGCTACTGGGACCCGCTCAACCTCTGCCGTCTCAACCTGTACGGGCAGGGTGACGATGCGACGGTCGGCTTTGTGCGGCACGCCGAGATCAAGCACGGGTGACGCTCTCCTGAGCCCGACGTCGCGACCGCCCAACGTCACAATCACCGACGCCTAGCCTCCCGCCTCCGCCTCCAGCCGCGTCGCGATGGCCGCTTTTGTCGGCTACATTGTGCATGAGAACGGCTGGCGCTGGCCGTGGCCGCTCTCGACGTCCCTGCCCGACTACTCCAGCTTCGAGGGCCTGTCTGCGCCCGCGGTGTGGGACGCGACGCCGGCGGCCTCGAAGCTGCAGATCATCCTCTTTGTCGGGTTTCTGGAAGTCTGGTCGGAGACCAAGTTCGTGCTCGAGTCGGACGGCGAGAAGCACTACATGAGGGGCGGCAAGCCGGGCTACTTCCCAACCTTCGACCTTGGCAAGCCCGACTACTCGAGCGGCAACCCGCTCGGCTGGGGCGTGGCTCACCCCGTCCCCTTCAACCTCTTCGACCCCTTCAAGCTCACCGGAGGCCTCTCGGCAGAGGAGAAGGCGCGGCTGCGGCTCGTGGAAATCAACAACGGTGCCGCCACTATTCGCCACTATAGCGCCGCGTAGCAGAGAGACTCTGGTGGACCGGTTGCTGCAGTGCGTGGCCCTTCACCCCTCCCCCCCCCCCTCCCCCAGGCCGGCTCGCCATGCTCGGCATCATGGCCTTTGTCTCGGCGGCGGCAGTGCCGGGCGCCGTCCCCGCGCTGACCAACGCGATCAAGCACTGCGACGGCGAGGTGATGGCGCCCTTCGCTCCCGAGTTCCACCTCAATTTCTAGTCGCTCCTTCGAGCTCCTTCCTTGGACGCACGTATAGTGCGCGGCGAACTCCCTCGGGAGCACACCATGTCCGACACGCCGAGATGTTTTCTGGCATCTAAATCCACACGCCGAGAGCTGCTCAACAGTGCTCGGGGCGGCAGCCCGTGGGGGGGCGGTCGGCGGACGCGCGGTGTGTAAAAGTTAGTCAGTCATTTGGAAGCAGGATACTCGTAAAGCCGTATCGGGGAGAGAGTTGCTTCACAGCGCGGCATCGGATCGCGCTGTGCATGACGAGGGCTAGCCTCGTTCTGCGACGGCCGACGCCGCCGCCGGCGGGCGGCGCGCCGCCCCCCTGCCCGCGCTGGCCCTGCCGTTGTGCCGATCCCTTGCTCGCGGCCTCGCGCGTCGCGGCTTCTCTCGCTTCTCGGCGTAACTCCGCTCTCCTCGCAGCGAAATTTGGCCCCTCGAGTTCCATCGAGCTCTCCTCGCGCAAGGACCCTAATTCCCACTCCGATCATTTGCCGCCATCCCGCCAAGACCCAAGTAATGTCGTTGTGCTCAGATCCGCTCTCGTTCCGAGCACTAGATAGCACTTGTACCTCCAGCCACGGTCAGTGTTGGCACTGGGGTCCCCTTTGGGTGTGCATCGTGACAAGCTGACGTCCTGACGACGGGATTACCACTGGCGTGTCGTCCTCATCGGATTCGTCCTCTCCGGACTTCTCTTCCCTTCGGCGAGGCTCACCCTCCATGCCGTGAACAGGCGCCCAATCCATCCCACTTCCCAGCTAGGCCTACTGCTCGCCCCACTCGCACTCACTCACTACTCGCCAAACCCGTTCGTTGGCACCGTCCATATACGTGTACCCTAAGTTCATATACACATGAATTGTGAGAGAGAGATATTTTAGCACAATACCAAACAACTCCAACACTCACACATCATTGGGGGCCTGGAGCCCTGCCTCCCGAGAAGGTTCCTTTCGGAGATCGGGACGACGCTGCGCCTTCCCCCGTATTGTTATTGGCGTGGTGTCCTGCTGAACTGGTGATTGCTGATTGGGTGAATGGTGATTGGCGTTTCACGATCACACTATGTATGCGTATCAGTACAGTATCGTATGAAAAATAGAGGTGAATCAAACGGTGAAAAGAATAAGTTCACTCGAGCTTGTTTGGTTGTTAGCCGCCGCACACCCACCCGGCCGGGGCCGCCCGAGGGTGTTTCCCGCAAGTGCAGAGAATACTAATCCTGGGGGAAGCAACCGTATGAGAGTGCGTCGTGCCGGCACCGTATGCATAAACTATTGATATTTGTAGAGGAGCGAATTGTAATGGTACGTCACCGCCGACACCGTAACACCCACCCCACCCTGAGCCTGACCCTCTCAGAGCCACAGGCACTCTAGCTCTACGGAGTACGGTATCGACAGTATAAGAGTACAGTGACTGTACAGTGTACCTTCGGAGACGTCGAGCCCCCAGGCGGCGGTTGGCTTGCTTTGCGCGCGCCAGCCCCGCGCCCCGCGATGGCCCTAGGCGCCAGCTGACTAACTAATTGAGCCGCAGGGAAGGCAAGCGGCAAGTGAACCAGGGCCACACATGAACATGAGAGGTCGGGCCCGCCTCTGATGCATGCTGTGCATGTGAATACGTCTTCCTTGATCCTGAGGCTCAGGCCTCTGCGCACCCCTCCCCACGACTCGGCCGCCATTCCTAATGCGTTGCCCTAGGCCAGGGAGGCGGCAAGAGATAAGCCGAAGGGCAAGGCCAAGGCCGGCCGAACGATGGCGAGGTCCCCTCGCTCCGGCTCTCACGCCGCGCCGAACCCGCCTGTCGAGTATCGATTGCCCCCTTTCCGGGGTAAAGAGGAGGACATCTCCTCCAACCCCTCGTCCTCAGGTGGCGCCTCTGGCGGAGCAGCGAGCGAGATGATGACGCATCCACTGGCGGTGAGCGCCATCCCGACGAGCGCGGAGAGTGCGGGGACATGCCCTTCCACGATCGCCGCGAGGAGGAGGACGACCAGCGAATTAGACCCGAAGATGGCAATGGAGATGCTGCGCGGAGAGGTCACACACGAGGCGTCAGACGCGCTCAGGGCTTCAGAGCGTCTAGGCTTACGCACACCTCGTGTACGGGCCGGCAGAGAGCGCCTCGTTGATGGAGTACACGCCGGCCGCCTGCATGTGGAGAGGGAAGCTCTCCTCGCTCTCTAGCGAAAAGCGAGCTGCATGGGTGTGAGAAGTGCCTGCATGAAGCCGCACGACGACGGGATGAGGATCCCTAGGACACTCGACGAGTCCCAGCGGGCAGCGATCAGCAGCGGGACAGAGAAGGCGCCCAGAATGAGCGTGCGCGCGATAAAACCGCTCGACGCCGCAATGCCGCCCACGGCCGCCACGCGGACGGAGAAGATGGAGGCACCAAAAGAGATCATTGCGGCGAAGGCGAGGGAGAAGGCCACCGGTGAGACGGACGTGCCACCGCCACCGTCGAAGACCCCGGCCATCGTGATCAAGCCGGCAAAAACCAGCGCCACGCTACCCCACTGCGCGGCGTTGAGATACTCGTGGTACACAAAGTGACAGAGCACCGAGACCAGTATGACGTCGGCGCATATCACGGAGGCGAGCGGCCCCTCGGCGTCTGGGTCAGCACCAAAGCTGAGCTTCATGAACAGCTGTGCCATGCCGATGGCTAGCCCTCCGCCCAGTGTCGCAGTCTTCGAAAGGAGCGTCACTGTGCCCGCCTCGGGTGCGATCAGGGACTCCGCGAGGCCAGGCTTCGCTTCAGCTTCAGAGAAAAAGATGCGATGCAGAGGGTGGCGGGCAAGGGCTCCGAGGCCGCACACGCCAGTGAAAAACCAGAGGAGGCCAACGGTCCGGCAGAAGTCGTCGCCGGGCAGCGAGTTGGTGTATGCGATGGCGTAATTCTGGACTCCGAAAAGGAAGCACGCGATGGTGCTCCAGAGAATGGCGACAGGAAGGCCAGACGCTGCCATGGCGACAGGATCAGGCAGGTTGGGTGGGGGGACACAGCTTAAAAAAAAGAAAGAAAACAACAGGCCCAGAGGAGGGAGGACGAGGACAGGGTCCCCACCTGCACGAGCAGGATTTTGGAAGAACGATCAGGGGGACAGGTGGGGCTCTCCTGCTCCTGACAAGGGACACGACAGGCTCGCAGCGCGGTGCACGGTGGGCTCCCAACTCCACTGGCGGTCTCATCTCAGTCTAGCGACCTGCCTCCAGCTTGTCGCTGGCAGTCTCTCCTACCACAGGCACACTGACACAGGGGTGGCAGGGGCGGCGGCACGAGTCTCCCACATACTATGGCGACAGGATCAGGCTGTGGGGGGGGGTACGGGCCCGCCTCCCACCCTCGCGCCAAAGCTTGCAGCCTCACCGCCGAAGCCTCCCGCGGATCTACCGTGCGAGAGCGTGGAGAACGAGCGGGCGCCGACGCGGATCGCGGTTGTCTGGCCTGGCCCGAGAATGAGAAGAGCCGGAGGGCCCAACAGGAGAATCGTGCTTTCAGTGGGGTTGTTTGGTGTTGGGTTGGGTTGGTTGGGGGTTGGGTTGTTCCGCGTGAGGTTGGGTCGTCGGCGCGAAGGGTTAGGTCTCGACCGCCGCCGCTCACGCCAGCGGACGGCCACCATCGGTGTTTTTGGCTTCGCCACCGTCCAAGGCGTGCGAGGGCGTGCGCCATGCGCTCGCCGGCATCAGGGGAATGGAGAGATTCGTCGGGGCCAGTGACAAGTTCTGCCAGGGGCCCCTTCACTCGCCTGCACCTGCTCGAACCCTGAGCACTGTGCGGCGTTGCACGCTCGAGGTCGTACATGATGTAGTAATCATTGTCTTGAGTATTGCGCTTCTCTCGACAGAGAGCGCTAGCCTCTACCCCTTCGGTCCGTCGAATCTCGCATCTCGGCGCGGCAGATGCGACGCCGAGACTGACGAAACCTCCCTGTGGTGGGCTGCTGAGCCTCCCACACACACAAGACCACCTCCGGGACACCCATGACACACTAGAACAGGTATGCCACGAGGCGGGATGAGACTAACTAGACGTCTCGGATGAGACTCGTGATAGGCGCGGTAGCGGTAGACGGGCAAGCCACAGCTGGCAAGATGTCGATCGCCATCGACCTCGGTCGTTCTCCACGCCTCGGGTCTGAGCGGCCCCTTCTTGCTCTCTTCCCACCCCGCTGTCGTGACCGTCTCCACCCCACACCTCCATTTTGCCTTTAGATATGCTTCAATCATTAGTTCGTCCGAGAGCTCCCTTTCCCAGTCCCAGCTCGGTTTCCACTCCAGCGGGTTGTCACTTCGGCATCCCAGCCTCCTTAAAGTGTGCCCTAGGCTGCTCTCCACGGCCACCCTCGCTGGTTCCCCTTCCACCGCGCTGAGGGCCCGGTCCACTTGATCGATCAGCGCCGCCGCTGCGTACGTGTACGCGTGCTCCATTCCCATCCCTCCTCTCTCCTTCACATCTATCTCGTCATCTCATCTATCTCCTTCACATCTATTTCCTCTTCCCAGCTCCGCTCAGCGCGTGCGTTATTTTTTTCAAGCAGTCTCAGAAATGCCAAAGGTGTCGGAGAGCGGGGTGTCGGCCCAGGCTGGTGTGTCGAAGCCGAAGAGAAGGCGGACCTACACGGAGAAGTTCAAGAAGGACGCCGTGCTGGCAGCGCTCAACCACCCGCACACCTTTTGACTTCAAAAAGAGAAAGAAAACATCCGCGGAAGGGACACCAAGGGACACAGCTTCAAGAAGAGAGAGATGCTGGTATCAAAATTCTTTTGACAAGAAGTCGAATAGATCGAGAGGGGTCCCGTACCATGCGGAATCGACCCTATCCAGTGCTCAAGTGCTCAAGAAGTGAATCTCTTTTTCTTTCGCCCAAGCCATACATTCCTTGAGCTTGAGGCGACGAAGAAGCAAACAAAAAACAAAAAAACGAAGGCCATTCCTTGTTGTTCCTTGGTGTGAAGCAAGGAGATGGAGTGACACAAGGATTCTGGGGCGCGAGACTGACCATGACGCTGCTTGTCATGCCCATGCAAGGTCTGTGCCTGTGATTTGTGCCTGTGTGTGTTTTAGTGTTTTAGAGCGACGTGGCCCGTCTCGTTTGTTTTCCGACTCGTATGGTAATGCGGGCAGCTTCGAATTGTGATTTCTGTCGCCTGTTTCCCGTCTATTCTTTTATCAGTGCGCACTTGATGCAGGCCGACCACAGATTGTGGCAAGGATCACCAAAAGGCCCCCAGGGCGGAGGACCGGAGGTCCCCAAGGAGAGGCCGAATCCTGGCTCGTCAAACGGGAATCCTGGGGGGGGGAGAGGAGCGCCGCCGCGTCCAGCTGCCGCTTGTGCGTGATGAGCGAGATCTCCGCCGCCTGATGACGCGAAGAGGGAGCGGGTGAGCCCGGTGGCGCCGCGCTCTCGGCCGGACACCACTGAGACGGCCGTTCCGGGCATTTGAACGGGACCTTCGGGGGCAAAGACATGGGCTCTATGGCTCAGACTGGACTCCTCTTGGTCCCTTCTGATGCCCTACAGTAGGCCACACCTGGGCCTTACCTGGGGCTCTAGGGGCCGGGAAGGGTTTGCCCCCCGAAACTGGCCCGGAGAACCTTAAAATAGATTGTGACTAACATTGGCGTATTCATTTGTGCCGAACTCTATCGGTAAGTACAGGACATGCTGTTGGCGTAAATGCTTCTTCATACTTCACCCAGCTGCTTCATCCTATCTCCCCAGCTCCGAACCGACACTGACGAGTCCCGAGTTAAACCCGTGACGAAAAACGGACGCACACCAAGCGCTAAGCGTGAGGACGCGATTTCGAATTCGGAGGTGCATCTGAGCAAAATTGGGCCCGCCAGGTGTGAAAAAAATTATAAGGGTCATAGTCGCCGATTCGATCCGGAAGCCACTCGACCATCGAGAGGCCGACGGCCGAAGTCGGCAAACGTAGATCAAATGGTTAGAGATAGCGTCCACTCAGCGACCGATACCCGTAACACATCACCGAGGGAATTAGACGCCCGTGTCCGGGTGTGGAGATGCGAGGGTCGCCCCCCCTTGCCCCACCACTTTGTGTGTGTGGAGAAATTTACCTTACCTTACCTAGGAAGACGTCCGAGAGTGGGCGGCTAGCAACACACCTTCCTTGCCGTGAAATCCCTGTGTGAAAGTGCACGGTGACAGAAAACGTGTGTGGTGGCGGCGTGCCGTCCCCCCCCCTGGGATTAAGTTTTTCTTTGTTTTGCAAAAGGGGAAAAATCGGTGGGGGGTTATAAACCTCGGTGCGTGCCTCCGTCCTCTGGCGAATCCGGACTCGCCTCTCGCACACTTTTCGACAAGCCATGTCTACGCTTGGCCCCGAGGCATCCAGCACGAACGCAAAACTATGCGCCTCGTCGCCACTTCTTGGCTTCGATCTCTGCTCTTTTGTCGAGGCGGCGCAGAGCGCCCTTGAGGCTGACAACATGAAGGGCCAGGCCACGCCCAACCGTCGCCGCCGCGGGACCAGCATCCCAAACTCGCTGCTCGCAGCGGTGAGGCAGGAGATTCTTGTCGAGACGAAGGAGAAGAATGAGCGGGTCGCCCGCACCAAAGAGCTGCGGGCGTGGGGCAAGGGCGAGGCGTGGGTGCCATGGAACTCACGGCGCGGGCTCTCTCGGCTACGGGACCGGCCCCAGCTTCGGCTGAGGGCTGACAAGCTGCCGAGCCCAAATCACTGTGAGAGTCGTGATTTCTGGTTGGGTTTCTAAAATCTCTCGAAATGGTCCGAACTAACATTGGAATTTATTTAAGACCAACCAGAAAAATGCGCGTTCGGTCACAATTCATGTATATGAACGGTGCCAACGAACGGGTGTGCAGCGAGTAGTGAGTGAGTGCGAGTGGGGCGAGCAGTAGGCCTAGCTGGCATGGATTGGAAAGCAGGAAATTCTTTCTCGAGCGTGGGGTGGGGTGGGGATGTCGGGGTGGGGAGCGGGTGGGCGCCGGAGTGGGAGTGGTGGTGTGACTGCTCCTGTGGTGCGGGCGACGGGTTCTGAGGAAGCCGTCGCCCGCGCCTCGCCTGTCGCGTGAATGTGTCGTGCGACCGCCTTTTGTTATAAAATTCTTTTCTCTTTCGGCTGTACCCCCTCCCTATCAAATCAAGCAAGCCACCTACATTCATTCGGACGAGCGATGTCGACGAAGACGGAGTCGGCGAATTTGTCCCGCGTGGACGCAGCCAAGGCAGCGCTACGACAGCAGTGGCAGACAACTATCCGTGCCGTGCGTCCGCTGCCCAACCACAAGTACTTGGTCAAGGGCGACGCGATGGCTTTGGCCGCGCTCACGAGCGACAACCTCGGAATATGCCTCCTCGCCTGCACCATATTGGGATCGATGGGCATCGAGAACGACCTCCTATACGGCACCATGCTGCCGGCCATTGGCCTCGCCGTCCTCTTTGGCAATGGAGCTTACTGGCTGCAAGCGCGGCGTATGGCGGCCGAGAGTGGCCGCGAGAGTGTTTGCTGCCAGCCTTTCGGGATCAACGCTCCCAACGTCTTCATCTTCTCCTTTAGCATCATCGCCAACGAGCTGCGCGACGGCCGCAGTCCAGAGGAGGCTTACAACATGGCGGTGGCGTGCTCCTTCCTGACCGGTTGCGTGCAGCTGATCTGCGTCCCCCTCGCGCCGCTTGTGGCCAAGTACACGCCGCAGGTGGCGATGCTCGGATGCATCGCTGGCGTGGCGCTCGTCTACCTGTGCCTCGGCCCAATCGTCGACTACCTCGCTGAGGAGCCGATCGTCACCTTCCCCCCGTTCGTCATCATCCTCATAGGAGCCTATACGGGCGCCGGCACCCCAGCGTAGAGGGCGTCGTGCAGCCCTGTTGTTGGTATAATCATAGGAGCCTACGGCGGGGTGCAGACCAACCTTCCCATCATCACGTATGCCATCGTGCTGGGCGTCGCCATTGCGTGGGGGCAGGGAGGCGTCGGCGAAGAGGTTGACGGCCACCCGGCCTACGCAAACAAAGAGGCTCTCACGAGCATCGAGGGGATCGGCCCCAAGCAAATTTCGCCCGTGCACTTCTGGGACGAGCTGTCAGAGGCGGTGTCCAAGTACCTCGGGGTGATCCTCCCGGCGGGGCTCTCCGTCATCGTCGGAGACATCACCTGCTGCGAGCTGTGCGGGCTTGGCGGCGACAGCTACTCTGTGCGCGAGACGGCGTTCTATGACGCCATCTTCACGCTCGCGGCCGCGCTAATGGGAAGCATGCTCCAGGTGACTCGGAGCCTCCCTCGGGGATCTGCTCCTTTTGAGCCGCTCAGTGTGTGGCAGCAGACCACACTAGAGCATTCCTCACACACCAAGATCTCGTGCTCCAGGTGACGACCTACCCGAACCACCCGGGCTACTCGCGGCTGGGCGGCCGCACGGGCTACTCGCTCATCCACGCGGTGATCTTTGCGCTGGTCTGCTTTTTGGGACGGGGGGGGGGCCCCCCCCCCGCCCGTCCCTGGGATGGTCCCCCCCCCCCCCCCCTTCTAAGCCCGACGAGCGCCCTCCCTACACGCCGCAAGCCAACGAGATCCAAGGTAGCCTAGCCGCTCTTTGAAAGGTGCCGCTCTTTCTCGTCCTCATCCCGGTCCACGCCATATCGCCGACGGTGGTGTTTGTTGGCCTCATGATCATCACCGAGGGCATCATGGCGTGCAAGAACAGGCACAGCAGTCGGCTCACGCTCGCGCACACGTGCCTCTGTCTCAGCTCTTTCCCCTCCTTCGCGCGCAGGCCTCACCTCTTCGCCGCGCTCGTCCTCGCCATCCTGCCCGCCGTGGCCAACTACTGCCAGTCCCAAAACGTGCACACGCCCCCGATCGACGCGCTCGCCAACGGCTACATCATCACCGGCCTCTGCTGGGCGGCAATGTTCATCACTCTCATCGAGTGCGATTTTGTCAAGTGCGCGATGTGGGTGTCGGTGCTCTGCTTCCTCTCCTTCTTCGGCATCATCCACAGCACCACCAAGGCGTGGGAGAACCCTGTCGATGGCGAGGACTTTCCCGACATTCACAACACCGACCAGGTGTGGCGGTGGACTGCGGGCTACGGCACGCTGCTGCCCACGCTGCTCGTGTTCTGGCTCATGCAGCGCTACCAGGGGTGGTGCGAGAAGCACCTCGGCATCCGCTTCGCCAAGCCGCGCAAGCCGGCCGAGCCGCCGCGCGCCACCCGGACGAGCGTTTGGGTCGACATGTACGCGTCGCAGGACCAGCGCAAAGACAGCACGGCGCACATTGTCGGGCTCTCCCGCTGCTCGATGGCAAACTCCGAGTGGAGGGAGACGACGGCCGCGGATGTGCTGTCCAGCCCCCCCGCCCACCTCTCGTGAAACGGGCCACGGACGCACGGCGCGGTCCCGCCGCGCATCGGTCGGCTCGGTGTAACACTAACCCCCGCCGCGCTGTGCCACCACGCCGCTGCCAGGGGCCGAGCGAGCGAGCCCCATGCGTGCGTAGTCTAGTTGATGGTCTAGGCAACCTTAGTTGGCGCGGGCGGCGGTGCGCCGGCCCCGCCTAGTGCCGCACGAGCTCTGCGAGCTGCTCGCTAAGTAGGGGGGAGGGGCGGTGCAAGCCTCTCCCTTTTGCCCAAGCATCGCCTGAGTGTGCACAAGGCGTGTGTGTAGAATTGTCTTGTGGGTGCTGAAGCCGTCGCCTGTGTGTGTGTGCGTGCGTGGCTGCACCCCCCCGCCCGATGAGCGATGTACTCTATCACCACACTTCTCTATCACCCCTGCGCTCCACCAAAACGGTGCCCCCCGGGGACACGTCCACTCTCTCCGTCCCATCTCTTTGCGTCATCAATACACAGATACATATAACGCGTGAGCAGTTGTATGGCTTGAGCCTTGAGTTTGCCGTGCGCGGGGGCTGGTGTATGTTTCAAGTTTCGCTCCCATTTTTCAGACCCTGCCTCCACTCTCATGAAAAACCGAGTTACGGGAGTGGTCGAGAGCATGCATTCTGTATAGCCATTGTTGGCCAAGCGAAACCGTGTTGTCCCCCCCCCCCCCCCCCCTTCTGCCTGGCGCCGAACTTCGACAGCGCTTGCACTCCCACAGCACGCCAGGCAGATGCCACCCGAGCTCGCGTGCGAGCCGGTGTGCTGGACGGCGCCATGGGCACTGGCACCTGTCGCCTCCTCACCAGAGGCAGCCGAAGCAGCGCTCATTGTAGGCAAGGCCAGTGGTTGGTGGGCGGTCGCCAACCTGCAGCGTGAAAGCGCAGAGCCGGTTCTCGTACTTCATCTCCATCGCGCCGCCGCCGCCGCCGCCGAGGATCGTGTGCCACGTGGCGATCTCGCGCAAGCTCGCAGTGACGCGCTCTCCTCCGATGACTCCGTAAGCGGCGTCCTGCTGCTGGTAGGTGTCCGCCTAGGGCAAGGTCAGGTAAACTTCTCCACACACACACACGGTGGCGGGGCAAGGGCCAGGCAACCCTCGCGACTCCACGTCTAACGACAGGAGCCCCACGGCATTGAAAGTGCAAGGCCCGGTGCGCGTGGGTGAGGGGTGTGTGTGTGTGTGTGCGTGTGTGTGTGTGTGTGTGTGTGTTGTGTGAGTGCGTGTGTGCGCGCGCGCCTGCGCCGACTCGCGCAGCTGGCCGCTGCCATGCCCCTCGGGGGCGAGGAGCTTGAAGTAGTTGTACTTGTGGTCGCCAAACGTCGCGTCGGCCGTCCACACGATGCTCGGCGGCGTCGGCGAGTCCGGCGACGGCGCGACGGGCGCCGCGCCGCTGCCGGCGCCGCTGTCGACGACTCCGGACAGGTGCGGCCCGCTCACCCCGTGGATGAAGCGCCAGCCGTTGTGCCGCGGGTAGATCGCGTAGTACCGCTTCGAGTAGCCGTAGCCCGACACTTCCTCGCCGCGCCACGACGCGACGCGCGCGGTCATCTGCGGCCGGTGGATCACCGGGCCGTCGGAAGACCCGTCGGCGCCCGCCGGGATCCAGCCGAAGGCGTGGCCCTCCTTCGCTCGGAGGCGCAGCTCCGGCCGGCCTGTCGACGCGCCGTCGCCAACCTGCGCACGGCGCAGCGCGGCGATCGCCGACGCCGACGTCGGCCGCAGGTCGATAGCCACGCTCCCGTCGCCGCCGTCGGCGATGGTGATCTCCTCGCCCTCGAGGAAGAGGCCGGGGGCGGCGCGGTCGGCGGCGAGGGGGGTGTACGTGTTGACCAGCTCGACGGTGCCGAGGCCGGGCTCGTGCAGCCACGCGGTGGTGCTCTGGAGGCTGGCGGTGTGGAAGACGCGCAGGGCGAGGAAGAGACCGCCCCCGAGGAAGAAGTGGTACCTGCAGCTCGGGATGCAGCTCAGCTCCCCGCCGGCGTGCCGCGGGCGGGGCAAAGCGTTCCCCGACTGTCGCAGCGCACACTCAGTAGTGGAGACAGGCAAGCACGGATGCGGGGCAGACAATTATGGATGCCACCGATCTGAGCGGCGGACTTACCGCTCTTCCCATCTATGATTCTTACTGCAGCGAGTCGTGCAGCCCTGGCGTGGGCAGCGAGCTGTAGGGCAGCGGCGGCTGCCGCACCGGACGGCGCAGCAGCTGCGCCGAAGATGCCTGCGTCGCCGCCACGCCGAAGGCTCCGCCCGACACCGCCGTGGCGGCGGTGGCGGCGGCGGTGGCGGCGGCGGTGGAGACGGCGGCCGCCGCCGCGTCACCTCCGCCAAACGACGCGCCGCTCTCGAGGATGCGCACGGGCGCCGTGCGTGCCTTGAGCGCCTGGGCGCGGCGGCCACGGTGGAGGCTGCGCTCGTGGCCGCCCGGCTTGCGCCCGGAGAGGCGCACGCCGCCGATGCGCCCGCCGGCGAAGAGGTTCGCCACCTGTTCACAGCCAGAGGTGTGAAGAGACGCTGTTCACACCATCATGCCCGCCGGCAAAGGGGCTCGCCACCTGGACGTAAAAGTGCTGCCGCGTTTCAAAGACCTCCCGGCCGTGCAGCGCGACCGCCTCGGCCTCCGTCAGGCTGTACTCGTCGCTGCGCGCCCGGCACCACACCGTCCACGGCACCGAGAGTTCCGTCGCCTGTATGTCGACGAACCCGCACCCCTCCAGCTCAGAGACGTACCCGTCGATCGACGTGACGCTCGGCGCCTTGACGAGGTCGAGGAGCGTGCGCGCCTCCGCCTCGGTGGGCCGCGCGACCAGCACGAAGTCCTCAATCACGAAGGTGCCGCCCTCGCAGAGCGACTCGTGCGCCTACGCGCTGAGTGCGCCGACATCAGGGCGGGGAGACGGTATTGTGCAGAATACTGAGAGCACCGCGGGAATACGAGGGAGGCGAAGGCAGTGAATGGAGCCGAATACGGTCGAATACAGCGGAGTGCGTGTCCCCTCGAGCGCGGGTTGGAGTACGATACCACGCTTCTAGGCCCGCGCGCCGCCGCGAGCACCGCGCCGCGGTCCGGGAGGTGCAGGTTGACGAGGTGAGAGACTGCGTGGTCAAACCCGCCCGCCGGCGTCGGCAGCGTCAGGTTCGGGTCGGCGGCGTCGCCCTGCACGAAGAGCACCTACGGGCGAGCCACGGCCGCGCTCGCCCGCGCCGCCGCCAGCGGCCGCAGGCTCGGCGCTGGAGTCGTCGCCCGGTCAGAGAGGCCGGGGATGCGTGCGGTGAGGGCGGCGGCGGCCTCGCACAGGTCGGGCTGCAGCTCGACGCCTGGGTGCGGGGACGGAGCCACGTGAGCCGGCGCGGTGAGGGGTGAGCCGCCCTCGCTGCAGGCGGGCGACGCGCCGACGACGCGGCAACCGGTGGTGGCGGCGAGGTAGCGAGACGTGCCGCCGATGCCGCTGCCGATGTCGAGGACGGTGGAGCCGGAGTCGAGCCCGAGGAGTGCGGCCGCCTCGTCGCAAGCGTCCGTGCCGCCGTAGTGGTACTGGTCCAGGTGGCCAAGGCTGTACAGGTCTTCGGCACAAAGGGGGCCGTCCGCCTTGCCCGCCTTGTCGAGCGCGCTGTAGACTGCGCGCACGCGCCAGTTGTACATGCGGCCAGACGTGAGCGCGCTGGCGCCGTCGCGACTCAGCGCGGACGAGAAGGCACGGCGCATCGCATGCACGTGCCACAAACCTCCGATCCCCGTCAGCGGGTTTCTTTCTTTCTTTCTTTCCCCAGAAGGCCAAAGAGTCATTTCTTTCTTTCCTATTCACAGACCTTGTTCTTGATAAGGAAATATTCTTTGGGCTCTGCTCTTCGCGTCCTGCTACCTCCTACCTGCTCGCCTCACGTGGCCACCTCGTCATTGTATCGACTCAGTCGGGCCATCGCATGTTACTCCTGTCGTCTGTTGTGATGTTGTGCCCTTGTTTGTTTCTCTTTGCCATCCCATCGATCGTTTGTGCGGGCGGCCCCGACGGAGACAGATAGATAGATGAATGACACAGTCCTCAGTCGTTGGCCTGTTACCGGGTATATACTTTTCCGGCAAACAAAAAGGAAAACAGAGGGTCTCCAGCACTTTGCGTTTCCGGAAATTTCCAGGGAAAACAGAGGGTGTTTGGTGCTCCATTCTGTTTCTCTCGAGTTTCCCTCGGGGAAACTCGCGAGTTTCCCTGACTGACTGAGTCTGAGAGCTGGTCTGGGGCAAAATCTGAGGCGAAACCGAGGAAACCGGCAAAATACCCGGGTATTTTTTCCAGGTATACCCGCAAAATACCCGGTATTTTGCCAATTTTGCTGATTTTGGGACCAAAACAGCCTCAGACTCGGCTCAGAGCCAAAAAATTGACGATTTCCCCCGAGTTTTCTCGGGAAAATAGAGAGGAAAAGAGAGGGTGCTGTAGAGAAAAAAGGAAAAAAGACGGGGTGCGAGAGGGAAAGCATATACATACATACAGCCTAAACAGTCGTGATTGATTGATTGATGAAGAGGGGCCTGGGTGGGGTGGGCAGGAAGGAGGACACCACGCCCGCACAGAAGCAAGCCTGCCGGCGGCTGAAAAAATAGGCTGGATTGAGGTCGTGCGGCTGGATCGAGATTCCCAACCTCATTTCTCGGAATGAATAGCCGATATGTAACGAGCCAAAAAGAGGTGCGGACGGAGACGAGAGCCCGGGGCCGCGCGGCCCCGGGCGGCTGGATCGATGCCGGGGATCCATGCTGTCGTGTGGGCGTGCCTCGCCTTCTTCTTCTACTCCACGGGAGGTTTTGTGGTTGCGCTGAGCGTCCCGAGTCCGGCCGCAGGGGAGAGCGGTGCCGATAGCATCGGCAGCGCAGTTCTGTATGCGCTCGGGCTCGCCGATGCAGTGCCATCGGGCGTGGACGGAGCGCTGAAGGTTTCGCGCGGCGCGCACCTCGCCGAGCTCGCAAGAAGTCGAGACCTACGAGAGGAGCAATCTCGAGGACGCCTCTCGCACGCCTCCCTCCCCCACCTTTTCACGAGGGCAGCTTCGGCACCAGTGGCACAAGGCAGTGGGGCCGGGCCGAATCTCAGCCGCCAACTGTCCGAAACGTCCCCACCGCCGCTTCCGCCCCAGCAGCCTGGGACACAGGTGTCTCAGGGTACGACGTTCACTCTGAGCATCCCGGGGAGCTTCGCTTTGCACAGCAAAACTTGCGGGGCACCCATTGGTGCGGCGATTCGGACGCAGACATTCTTGGATCTTATGAGCAAGGAGCTTAGCCCGAAGGATATCACGTTGATTGACCCCATAACGTGCGAGGTCACCACGATCACCTCTCCGTCCTCGCCGCCCCTGCCGCCTCCCCCGTCGCCGCCTCCACCATCGCCGCCCCCACCATCGCCGCCGCCACCCTCTTTGCCTCCTCCCTCCATGCCGCCGCCTCTGACTCCTCCATCCCCACCTCCGCCCTCCCTTGCCCATTCCGTCCTCCCCCTCTAAACTTCGCTGGATACGGACTCTCCTGGGCCTTCTACTCTATTCCGCCCGCCGGCATTTTATTTGGTCACTTAACTTTTTTCACCGTGGCTCCTCTAGCGATCCAATTTCCG